ATGGCAGTCGCCCTGTTCTGGGTGTGCGCCAGGTTGTTGAAGCGGGCCAGGCTGTCCGGCAACAGACACAGGTTGGCTGTGGCAAATCCAAATGATGCCTTTCCTACCTGCTCAAAGCCTGTGTGGGTCTCCTTCTCTGGTGAGGATGGTGTCTCTCTATGGTAGTAAAAAGGCCTTCGGCAGGCTTGCAGAGGCGCCCAGAGGAGAAAGCCCAGGAGGCCCAAGGGAGCCGTGGCAAGAAAAAGGATGAAGAAGACAATGGAGCCAAAGAAGACCTTGAGGGGGTATAAGTAGCATTCCTGCTCCAGTCGCTGGGTTTGCTCCAGGGTGGTGGACTTGCATACAGCAATGAGGCGGTCAAGAAACCAAAAACAAGGCAGGATGAGAGCCCAACCCACAGCATGGATGCCTGCAACAAACCCATTAGGAAATGGAGACGCCCGCAGGGCCATGTCTCTGTCCCTTCTCTACGCAACAATCACAATGAACAGCATCAGGACGTCTAATTCAAGCCTCATTCCTGTCTCTTCTTCATGGGCTCCACTGGACACTAAGACGAGAATGAAATTAAATTATTATTACATGGCTCAGGAACAACTGGCTTTTACTTATTACATTACATTTACTCATTTGGCAGACACTTTTATCCAAAGCGACTTACATTTGAGGAACAACATACAAGCATCAACAAAGCATCAGCAAGAGATCTACATTTGACAATACATACTAGTAAGGGCAGCAATAAATACTAGTAAGAGCTAATAGCATGTATGTCATCAATGGGGTAAATACCTAGGGAAAGAAGTAAGAGTTAACAAAAAAGTGCAATCAATACAAGATAATTGTAAGCAAATAGAAGAAGAGCACAGGAAGTGCATGTTAGAGGTTAGGGGTAAGAGGTGTTATAAGAGAAATTGTTCTCGGAAGAGATGATTTTTCAAGAGCTTCTTGAAGTTCTGATGGCGTGTGGTAGCTCGTTCCACCATTGTGGTGTCACAGATGAGAACAGTCACAACTGAGATTGCTTTTTGTGTAGGGATGGCAGAGCCAGGTTACGTTTGTTAGAGGAGTGCAGTGGCTGAGAAGGAACATAAACTTGTATTATGGAGTTTAGGTAGGTGCTGCAGCTCCTCTTTTCACCCTGTGTTGTACGCTCTGCTCTTGAGCTACAGAGTGATGCATCTTACTTGTACAAAATCTTTCTTATGAGTTGCACATGCGCAGTTCCCAGGTAAGGACTACTAGCCAATCAGAAGCAGAGAAGGGCGGGTCGTAAGAAACAAGGTAGTGTGATCCAAATCAAAGCCGCTTCAGACTGCGACCGTAACCTAGTAGATGGTATAAGTTACTCAAGTCCACAACCACACAACATCATTGTTCCACATCTTACCATTAGGACTAAACGTTGAACTGTTGCTGGTGTTCTGACGATCTATGCTGCCTTGCCGAAAAATGCTACCATAGCGCAAATCCATAGACTCGACTCTACTCGGCCCTGCTCCGTTTTCTATTGCAGATAGAACCCAGAAATAGTACGTAGCTTGTCGTCATAGCGAAGCCATACACAACTGCCGCAACATAATGTTCAATGCGACACACACACACCAGCTCTTAAAATATATCTACGGTTAAAACGTTTCAACATTCCTCAGAATGTAAAGACAGATAAGCAGTATGAAAACTCTGTGAGCGGGTGGCTGGCCGGCCTCACACGCTCATCCCGCGGGTTGGCACAGGCTTCCCCCGCAGCCGCTTGCGGAGCTCCTCAACTCCGAAAATATTCAAGCATTTTTGTTTCGCCATCACTTCTCGTAAAACTGTCAATCGAAATCTACACAGCTGATTTCTCACCTCAAAACTTCTCAGAAGTGGATTTAGTGATGAAATTACTGTGTATGTAATTACGAAAACTGTAAAATATAAAACTTTCTGTTGCTGGCCTCCGGTGCACGCAATGATGATGCAGTGAATAGTGAATATTCTCTCTGACCAATCAGCAATCTGTCGTGTTTTCACGTTACATTTTAGTATCCCTCAGCTCCCTTGGAACCTCGACTGAAGTGAGGTGATACCAAAAAAAGTACCTGGAAGCAGGTACTGGTACAACATTTCTACAATGGAAACCCAAACAAAGGCGAGTCGAGCCAAAGGGCCTCCACTCAGACTAGCTTGGTTTGAGGGTGTGTCTGACCCCGCAAGCTTTATGACGCGTTTTCATTGTGACGTCACAAGTAAAGGAAGTGAAGGGCTGGACTACAAACGAGCTGTTTTCAAGCAGTTCAGAGCAGAGCTTTCTGTGGCAGATGGGAACTCCCTTTGGGTTGGACTTTAGGCTTTTTCACTTTGCAAACCTGTTACATGCACAAAAAAGATATATAACTCAATAAAGGAGAGGGAAAAAGCCAAAAAGCATAATACCACCTCTTTAAGGAGGCAAAGAGAAAAACATGGTGAAAACATCCTTTAATCCAGCTGTCACCATCTGCAGTGTTGCTAACCACTGGCGATCTGAGACCGCAATGAAAAGCCTGTCTGAACACCACACCTTTGTGTACATTTACAGATTACTTCTAGTCTTAAATCAGAAAATGTGGTAAAACCTAACAAATATTGTTCTAATGTTGTACAGATTTTATTTGAAAAGAATATCTAAAATATAATATATTCCCAACATGTGGTAGAATCATAGGGCAAGTCACGTTATATATTTTACGGTGAAAAGGGAGACCATAATAATGTAAACAGTTTTAGTGTGGATTTGCCCTTTAACATAAGTTCGTTGCCTCCAAGCGTTCACTCCCATTGCAGACTTTGGGCACTGACTCATAAAATATGGCTGAAAAAAATAAGACAATCTGTCGTTCAAAGAACACAACCAGGGAGTTGCAAATCCCCAACACCAAGACTATATAAACCCGATTCTAAGCAACCTATCATAACTTAAACCATCATGTAGCCTTTAAATAGCGCGATTTCTGTGTCATGGTGTCTCATCAGTGGGCACTCACACAGGTATGTTAGATGGGTCTCTGATCGCCCGTGTGCAGGTATGCTAAGCTGTTTTACTTCATAAACTATTCAGAAAAACTTTCAAACCTAACTCCATAAATGTCGGTGTGTGTGTGACCGCATACCGTTGGTCTATCATTATCGCACCAGGTTATTGAATCCTCACACTTAATACGTGCTTTATAAATGTTTTTGTTATCTCAAATGAAAGCTGTCACCTGTCCTGTTACGTAGCTAGCTTAAAACGGGCTAACGTGGCATCCCAGATGGTCTTACCTTTGCACGAAAACTAGGACAGTCCGTCTGATGAACCCATCCAGCGAGCAGCCTGATAATGTATTTATTGTATTACATTTATTTATGTTGTGACGTCTGTTAAAGGAAATAATCAGTTTCTATCTGGAAAACAGTTAAGCAAAGCTGCCCTAAACATAAACCCTCCCTGCTCCCAGCGGCTCATCACGCTGGCATTATTAAGCCACGCCCCAATGGCTTTGTTACTGTGTTGAGCCAGTCTGGCACGTGACCACGTGACTTCACCTGAGGTGTCCTGGCTGTCACGGGTTAGTCCCAAGCAGGCTATGGTTTGAATTACTGAATAGGATAGTTACTGTAACCAAATTACTACTTATTGATTCAGAATATTTTCAGCTAAATATGCAGTGACTTCTGGAAACATTTTACCAAATGAAACGAAAGTGAATAAACTGAGCCACATCAGGAGAAATACATTTCTCCTGATGTGGAGAACCTATCACATCATTAACCTATCACATCATTATGTTGAAAAAAAAAATGCATGTTTAAATTTTAAGCTAAAGGTTCTTCTTCATTTCTTGACAATTACCCTGTAACTTAAGTAAGAAAGGCCCTGCCTGACAAGAATAAAGCATACATATAGCAGTCATATAACAGCATGTGTATAAAAGCCCAGTATGTGTGGTCCAAACTAAGGTAGCAATTAAAATTAGCAGCAAAATCATCAGATATAGATCATCGGATTCAGCAGATAAAACTAACTGAACTGTACAATAGACATGTGCTTAAAAAGGCAGAATCCATCATGTCTGATAGTTCTCACCCCCTGCATGCAGAATTTAAGATGCTGCCTTCTGGTTCCTGCTTCAGTCAGCCACGAGCCAAAACAAATAGCTACAAATTCTCCTCCTTACCCTCTGCTTAACTCTGTAAAGAATAGGTAACGTCTGCACATAAGGCATACTTGAACTTAAACTTTTAATGTTGTGGTATTTATTTACACATTTGTCTGACCCTGTATTTTTAATTGATGTTGTTGTCATGTACTGTATGTCAAATTCTTTATTACTGCGGCAAAACTAATCGCCCCTCGTGGACAAATAAAAACGTCTTGAATTGAATTGAATTGAATTAATGAGTAAAAGGATTATCTCACCTGCAGGAAGATTTAGATATTGTAGTGAGAGAGCAGGGAGCCCCCTAACAAACCCCTGAAGATCATTTTTAATCCTGAAATTCTCCAGCCAGGACTCATCACTTTTCAACGTAATAGCATTTTTCCCCAAATGAAGATCCAAATATAAAAATCCATAATAGCCTGGTTACAAACCACTGAATGGCGGGCCACATCTGTTCAGCATGAACTTTAATAAAATAGCAATTCAGATTGATTATCAGGCTAGGTCCATGGCAAACTCACAGTACGTCCTTAGCAGACAACAGTATGTTTAATTGATTAATTCTTTCACACATTAAGAAATGATGCTGCTTCAGTATTTTATTAAATATTGGTTGAATTAACAAATCCCTGTTAGATGTCTTATAACAGGTTGCCCTTTTTGATTGTTTACTCAATGCTTTATGCAGCCTATATGGCTTCAAAAAGGTTGGCTGTTCAAGTTCACCATGCATTGGCCTACTTTCAAAGTGTATATTAATAATCAAATACATGTGAAAAGCTGTGTATTAATTTTTGATTTTTCTTTGTGCACAAAATCAGCGCCACACAAAAGTTATCATGTGATATGTTTTTATGTGCGTTTATTGCCAATTTGGGGAAAGTGTAAGCTTTCCAATGGTGTGTCTTTGGATGCAATCACATCTACCAGAGAAGGAGAGGCTTTCTGTCCCTCTTGGCCATGTTGCAGAGGCAGGTGAGCAGAAGCAGCAGGTCCTTCTGAAGTTTTGTTGGTGCTGTGGTCATTATCATCTTCCTCAGAAAGTCTGGATTATTGAAGTCCACTGACTGGGTGCTGTCTTCACCAGGCCTCTCCCTCAGGATCCCATAGGTGTTGACAATAAATTCAGAGAAATGAGGGTGAAGTAGTGTTTTATACCCAAGCTGGTTCAGCCTGTCCATAAGGTCGGCATGCCTCTGAGTGAGAAGAAGCCGATAGCCTTCATCTACCTTCCCTGTCAGTGGGTGGGTAGTTACCTGCAAGAGAGGACATTTATACTTTTCATACTGAAAATTGGTTACAATTGAAACTTTGTTCAGATTTAATCTCATATCTTTACTCTAAAAATACTTTCTAACCTCTATGATCTTGTCTGGTATATTGAGCAGTGTGAAACCATAAAGCCTCTTCTGGCCCTGGAATATGTGGGACAGAATTCTCCTATCCAGTTGGTAGGCAATCTCTCCCAGCAGCCTGTCTGGGCCTGATAGATAAATAAATAGAAAATACATCTGCTTCTTATGGACAACAGCATTACTGCTCTAAAGTTTCTGCATGTCAGGCCTTGCTCACCTTTGACCTCAAGAGGAATATCAGCCTGGCAGCTCTGAAACTCTGCTTTCTCACTCGTGTCTGTGTGCACCGAGCTTTGGATGAAAGACTTGAAGTTGATGGGGGATGAGGTTCGGTGTTCTTGTTTGAGTTTGGTTTGAGACAGGTCTTTTCTGAACTGTCTCTCATCAAAGGTGTTTTGCCACAGACAGGATGGTTGTCTTCCTGAGGGTGAGCAAACTGATAAAAGTGAAGTTCCCCATTTGATTAGACTTGATTTTATAATTTGTTGATTTCAACTTGCTACCTTGTGTGAAGCACTTTAGAACTTGGGTTTTGAAAAATGCGCTCTAAAGATATTAACTATTGTTATTACTGACGTTTAAAGATAAATGACAAAGTGTGTGGTAATCAGAATATAAATAAACACAATACATAACTAACTTATAAGGATTCAGTGCATTTATTTTTGCAGATCCTAAAGGTATTCACAAAATAGATCCTATTGATTAAAAGAAAGGTTACATTAAGAGAAGTTACTTCTTGCTTACTTGGCCACACTGAGGGGCAATGTATGTAAAATAGCATGACTTACACTATTTAAATTCTGCATAATCAACCAAGTTGATAAATATATACATAATATAATCTCAAAATATATCCATCTAACAGTATGATTTGAAGATTGACATTGATAATAGTTCACTGAAAATACATTTTGCAAGAACAATTAAGAATCATTAATACATTTATTCTTTAATTGTGAATTTACCCTGAATTTATGTAGACACATATTTAGGTGATACATGTTACAGTATAAGGTATACAAAAACTGTTGCTTACTTTGAATGTAATCCCTATTTCCTAAAAGATGTGATTAATTTTACATATGAAAATCTCCCTAGTGTTTAAATGGAACAAAATTGCATTAGTAGACTACAACTTGGGTAAGTTATTGTCCAAGTCAGCAATTATAAAATGCTGCAACTACATTTTTTACTACAAGTTTTATCCATAAAGAATGTTTGTTTGAAACCTGAACTAATCTAAACTTGTACATGCTTACACTTGACTCTGTATGTCACTGAGGTAAGTAATTACAGTACATGACCACAGGAGTTTGCAATGCAAATAACATTATTGCTCTTGTTCACAAACTACTAGAGTAAAATATATTTTAAAAAACAAAAGGCAGCAACAACTCCAATACCCAGCACATTAAGATCGACAATTGTGCTTTAACCCCCAGCTAATTCTAGTTAATCATATTGCAATTCTTTGCCACTGCCTCAGACAACTCTGACCTGCACCCTGACTGCCATCTAGAGGCAGAGAAAAACACTGAACAAATACCTGTTATTTCCTCCAGAGTATCGCTGTTAAAGCTGTGCATCCTGGCTTTAAGGTCTATGTTTTCCTTGACTACAGTCAGCATAGACTTTAACTGATCATTTTCCTGTCTGAGTTGTTGGTTTTTTGACAGCAAGGCAGCAACAGTTTGCTCAAGGTCCATCCTGTGGCTCCCAGTGTCACAGCTGAGCCGCAAACACCCAAAAACTTTATGGACGCTGACAGAATTCACATGTCAAATCACAACAGGACACAATTCTCTGGTGGAATGTTGATTCTTTCAGGGTTCTTTCACTCCATACAAATAACAGATCAGGTTTAGAAAAACATCTTTTTCCATTAAAATGTTGCATTTTATCTCAGAAATAGCATTTTGACCAAAAATCACAACTCGAGGTCAACTTACTAGCTTTGTCTAGGGCTTTCAACCATATCACACAGTCTTCACCAGCTAATGCAGTTTGCTCAGTTGTCAGGGTGATGGATTTGTTGACATGCAAGTTCAGCAGCTGTTATAATTTCATATACGGCCCTTCTCACACCTGCTGGCTTATAAATTAAGTGTGACAGTTCAATATTGACCCTGGAAATAGCAGTTTGACAAAACAATCACAATCCCAACTCAAGGTCCACTTACTACCACCTTTTTTCCCCTCCATAGTTTCAACCACATAAGGTCATCTGCTGAAGAAGCCAACCTGGACAAATCACAACCACAACTGAGCTTGCATATCAACAGATTCATCTCCATGACAACTGATCAAACTCCTTCTGCTGATGAAGACCGAGAGCCCTGGGAAAAGCTAGTGTTAAATCTTAACACTGTTAAGTTTTTTTTTGTATTTTTTTTTTTACAACATGTCCTACATAAAGCTTTGATAAAGCCCCAAACTACAGCATAGACAGTGTATTTAAATTCTCATAAAAAATTACATTTACACTGGGTGAAGCAAAAGAAACTCTTGAGCTATGTGATCAGCGCACACTACAAGACAAAATAATCATCAAGACTATGGAAAATCACTTCTAGACATGAATTCAAAACAAATTCCCATCACAATATGTAACTGTTGTTCCTCCTGCTCAGCTGCCCCTTGCTCTTCCGACAATAGCAAGAATGTAGAGAAAGATGTTGATGATATCTGTGTACAGGTTAAGAGCTGCAAAGATATATTCCTCTGGACTGAGGGCCAGTTCCTTGTTGCCAAGCAGCAGCTGCGTGTCCACCGCCAAGAACTGTAACAAAAGAAATTCATAGTGGATCAAATACTTTTTTTTTTTTTTTTTTAAATAAGTAAAACATGTTGTATCTCACAAATTATCTAGAAAAACATGTTTTTTATATCATTTGGTGTGTTTTGGGCTTGAACACTTGGCTCACCCAAATTACAAAAAAACATTTACTCACTTACTTCTAGCAATGGTTTTATGTATCCAAATTTAGAGGTATCTTCCTGTGACATTTCTGCCTTACACCCCAATACTATGGAGAATGGATTTTTATTTGTGCTACTCACAAGTAAAAAAAAAAAAAATACAGTTGAAAAACAAAGTGCATTTGCAGAAACACTATCTCAGCATAATACAGTTCTCAGTCAAAAGTTTTTTTTTTTTTTTTTTTTGAAAGCCAGTGGAGAGACAGGAAACATGGGGAGATAGAGGGGGATGACATGCAACAAAAGGTCCCCCAGCCGGGAATCGACATTGTGGTTATGCGGTCACCCTAACAATTAGGCTACCAAGGTGTCCCAAAGTCAACAGATTCCTAGGAAGTTAATTATTCGGTAGAAAGTAGTTGAAACAAAAAGCGTTCATAGCATGTTTTTTGGGACACTGTCTCTGGAAAGATTTTAAATGTACTGTGGTCAAACTGGCAACTTTAAAAACATTCCACAGGCAACCATTTGTGGTTGGATCTATGTAGCAGACCGGGGGTGCAAGTTCTCTCTGTGGGTGTAGTCGAAACGAGGCTTAGTAACTACTAGATAGTCTGTAACTAAATCAGCTACTAAAATTGGTTGCACTACAATTACTTGGGGAACAACCTAACTAGTTTGGACTAAGTGGGAAATCAACGATCAAAGATAGAGTTCCATCATAAGGGTTACCGTGTGCATTAGCTTTCTAGCTGGCATGAGCCATTGTAGCACACTGTAGTAAAGCTAGATCGAAACTGAAATATCATATCAATAAATTAGATCTCTACTAGTTTACTGTGTTGCAAAATGACATGCAATTAATGAAAATGTGATGCTGTGTGGCAAAAACTGCAGTTTTACCATTGGTGAGTATAATTCTGTGACAATTTACACCTACCCTGGGGCATGTGTAACTATTTAGTTACTCACATTGTAACTTATTTACGTTGTGCAACTGCTTTTATTTTGGTAATAATTTACATTATAACTCAACTACGTTTAAACTTACACACACCTTGCGCAACAGGATGCAGATGGTTACTGGTGTACAGCTTTTAAGGTTTTCAGTTTGAAACTTTGACCTCAAAATAGTGGCAAAATGCATCATCCCAGCTTTGCCAAATCAGTCCAGAGGTTGACGTAGATTTCATGCTACTCATACAGCCCCCCTTGATTTCAACACATTGGTCTCAGAATAACTTTTAACAAGGCCAATGATGATGACTACGGTCATCATCATCTTTATATAGAGGAGAGCTGGAAGACTTACACATGTGAAGAGCAAAGCTCCCAGCCCAGCATACACAATGTGCAGGATCCTGTCACGGATAATGATGCAGAGTATTCCGAAGACGACCAGGACAATTAAACAGACGAAAAGCACACCGTAACAGGAAGTGAAGTCGTACTTGGTCTGTGGGAGGGAGCCACAAGTGACATTTATGTTACCGTCACATCAGAGTACAATTCATGTACATTACAAACATGCAAAAGGCAGGGAGTGACAGCTTCAAACCTGCAGAGAGAAGATGACCACTGTGAAGCACACGACTGCTGTGATGCCCACTGCCATGACAACCGTTTCAGTGTCATGGAAGCTAGCAATCATTCCCACCATGTAGGACATACTGAGAGTCAGGACAGACTGAAAACACAACACACAAATACATCAGCACTGCTGCACATGTTTGACTGTAATTAGGCATAAATAAGAAATGGTAAGTAATTTTGTAGCTATAAATTGTATTTGTGAGGATGACTCTGAATCTAATCTGTGTAAACAAAGCAAAGTCTTTCATCATAACATTAAGATGAAACTTCATAAATACAAAATGGCAGCTTTTCAGGAAGTAGGCAGTCTTATCTCCCACTTTACCACATCAGAATACATTGTCATTTATCCAATTTCATAAAAAATAAAAAAAGGATAACAGGAAGATTAAGTCCAAGTAGGCTTACTAGGGCAACCAGGTTCCAAGGATGTCTTCGGCGAACGCTCCCACAGCAGCTGATTACACAGACTGACACAAAGAATATCGCATAGGACACCAAGTAGGTCCAGGCGTTCACCATGACAAACACCTTGATTTGCTCCACAAAGGTGAAAACAGCCACAAAGGCGAATGTCACCATCAGCTGGGCAGTGAGCACCAAGAATACCTGGAGGAAAAAGCAGATTATTAGGCAACAGACACAGATAATATTTCTAACAAAGAATGTTTCTTTTTTATTCCAGGAATTTTTAAAGGTTTTTTCATAATATTGATCTACTGCACCTACATGTTTCTTGTATTGTTTATTACTACTTTCAGTAGCTGGAGACTACAAAATCTAAACATTTTGTATTACAGATTATAATTTGGACTATTGTGCAGCCTTGGCAGGAAATAATATATGGTCCCAAGGTTGGAGTAATGTAAGACTGGAGTCATATTCCTTGTATGTGTATACATACCTAGCCATTAAAGTACATTTCTCTGAACATAATCAATTTTCCCTTTTCTTCAACCACACTGTCTCCTTACCTTTCGAATAAAGGCTCTTCTTATGCTCTTGTTATCTAATCCAAAATCAAAGTCTTGATTCTCATGAAATGGGGGCGGATCCTCCTCGTTAGGGTAAACATCATCTGAAGTGGCACCGACCAGACACATCAAATTGATTAAGTTACACTATGAATCTAATTCCACCACAATAATAAGCCACATTGTTAGAAATACTAACCAGTGAAGGTGTTGCTGAAGCCCTGGCCTGGCGGTGAATATGGTGAAGAAGAGGGGTTGGGGCCATATCCCAAGCCGCCTTGAGGGTTCATATTCATTCCGAAAGCTCCAGGAGCACCAGGTCCGAAAGTTCCAGGAGCACCCGGTCCGAAAGCTCCAGGAGCACCCGGTCCGAAAGCTCCAGGAGCACCAGGTCCGAAAGCTCCAGGAGCACCAGGTCCGAAAGCAGTCGGTGGGAGGAAAGGGAGACCAACAGGAGGAGGACCAACAGGTGCTGGGCCGAACATGTTTGGGCTTGCCATGGTCATGTCATATGGAGGAGGAAACGCTGGCTGCCCGTGGAGCGAGGGTGGAGAGGGTCCCCCCGCCACAGGAGGGAATCCAGTCTTCTCGGTGGTCATCTCTGGCTTAGATCCGGAGCAGAGACCGGCAGGGGTGTTGGGTTATTGCGATAGATCTGAAGAGATAAAATAAAGAGAAGTCATATGGAATTGTTCAGATGGTTGACTGTCAGACCACAAGAGTGATCATAATTGGCGATACGCTGTAATGTTACAGAGGTCACATGACGATGCTTACTTCCGGTAGATATATAATTGATATGCATCGATCGACAACTTAATTAAAATGTACATGCTTCGTGTACCGTTTGGTTTTCACTAAAGTCTCCTCTAATGTGACTGTGAAAAAAAGGTTTCATGATGATTTGACCAGCAATTTACTCTCTCCCCAGTGTCCGAGTTTCCACGGAGATCGCGAGGTTTGACGTTAGCGGACGTTAAATTTAGGCCACAAATTTCACTTTAAGACAAGAAGCTGCCATTTAGCCCACGCAGTCTAGCTACATTCAATGGACTATTTGAGTCAAGGGAACATTGATAGCCCATGAATTTGATAAAGAAATAATAACAGTGTTTTTGTTACATCGTCCAACACAATATGGCCATGTTTTTTCCACCAAACAAGTCTGTGAATAACGTTACAAAAACGGAAAGACAACAAAGATCAGCTATAATCTTTCAAACCTACTCACATTGTCCGCAATCAACGTTTCATTCCCAGCTGGATTCCTCTAAAATGTATTTAGTTGTATTGTATCCCGGGTTTTGTCACACTTTCGTTGTTTGTTTGCCAGTAAATGCTGCACGTCGCCGCCCCCAGGATGCGGAATGCCGCATTCACGCCACATGGGACACTTGTAAGAAATGGGAAAGTTATTAATCTCATGTTAAAGGCATGCCAGCGTTCACTTCCACGGGCAGCTCACGGTTGTATGATTATGATTGAAAAACAGTATGCATTAACAATATAGCACTATAACACTAGTATCCGACGAATAAGTGCCAATAATATATCTGAGATTTCAGAAAATTTGGACTTACCCGGTCGTATTTTCGTCTTGGTTGATGCCGTGAACGCGTTTACCATGTAGGGAAGTCGTAATTACAAGAACTCCTATATGACCTGAACGCGGCATGAAACTAATCTGTAATTTGATGAAATCGAAAGTGAAATGCACAAAATCTCTTGCGAAACAGTCCGAAACCACAAGCAAAGTCAGGGAGGGAAAGGACAGAGAAGATGTCTCCATCTTAACAACAAAATTCCTGATTAGAAGGAATTCTCCATATGAACCAGCAGGTGTCAGGAGGCTACAGCCTTGATGAGAACACCCAAGAGGTCAACCAGGGGAGTCTCAAAACATTTATTTAATTTGGCCACACAGTCCTGGTTTTCTGACCCTACCGCTACCAGCTTGCTCCTCTGTTGTACCCCCAGGTCATATCACAATTCCTTTACAGCTTTATAGAAACAGACTGTAGTGAAGGATTTTAAACAGGTGAACAAACTGTTGAGTCTCAAACAGAAAGGTGTGTGCATTTCAGCTGTTTGGGTCAGCCACAGTAGAGCCAAGATATTGCTGTAATATATCAAATAAAATTTAAGCATTTAAAATGTAAATTTATCAGAATTTATATAGAATTTCCACACATGTCTAACACTTTAGGTTATTTAGAGGTTGATTCATTTTACTGGTAAACAGCTTCTCTCAACTAAAGTTTGAGGAATGTGGGAAGGGGGACTTCCCCTACTTACTATTTAAGAGTCAAAGCAGGTCGGATTCACCTTACACAAACTTCGTTGATTCAAACTCTCCAGTAGTGTCTCCCGAGATGCAGGATTCATATCTTGCCCCTCAAATTGATTATATGACTATCAAATAATAGCTATAGTTCACATTGTAGTGGGACTAATAGGTCTGGGCCCCACTGAACACAGAGGCACATAACTCAACACTAAAGGCAGTTTAGTCTTTTTGGGGAGATGTGTAGGTGTATACATGCATCTGTTACTTTTGTATTCTTTATCCACAACTAACCATCACGTGACATGATTTCGTCAAGCAAATTAAAGGCCAGGTGCGGATCGGCCATCGGGAATTTTGGGAACAATCCTGAATGGCAGCTCCGTTTTAAGCGGAACGGGCCGGTGTTCAAGAGTTTTTTTTTTCGGTTTCTTATGTTCAACTTTAAAAGATCAGCAGCTGCAGTGGATGCTGTCTGTGTGTCTATCAGACTGGGTCAAACTAATACTTTCAATATTGAAGGGGAATATGGGCGGCCCCTCCCAACTTGGGCCAGCCATGTTTTTGCTGAAATCTGATTGGCTCAAAGGCGCCGATCAAAGGAGTTTACTTTACTTTACAGGTGGGTTCCATCTCAATACTGTTTGTCAGGGCTGAACTCAGCACAGGGTTGCGTGACAAGCACAACAGAGAGGGTAAATATGTTGAAAAGAATCAGAATCAGCTTTATTGGCAGGTATGTGTACACATACGAGGAATTTGACTCAGAAATGTCTAACAGTGTTGTACATTGCTCACGATGTGCTTACTCATGCAAAAATACAAAATCACAATAATAAAAATTAAATAAAAACAGACAGAGACTTCACTGTAGACAAAACAAATATACACACTATGAACAAAAACAATATAGACATATTGACAAATAGTGCAGTGAGCAGAGTGCAAAGGATGCAGGAATAAATAACTAAGTAGTTTGTGCAGGAGTTATGACTTGAGATAGGTGGAAAGAGGAAAGAAAGAGTAAAAAGAAATATGTAGTGCCAAAAAAAAATAAGAATTTAGGAGACAAAAATGTCATCACAAGAGGCAGCTCAATGCACCAAATTAAGAAACCTCTTCCTTGGTGGAAAGGTGCTGTAGCAGGCACAGATGAGGCAACCAGCACAGGTACTGATAAATAATGCGTTTATTATACACTGAAATTATATACTATTTATTCAAATAACTGCAAAAATCTTTCTCCGCTAAAAGGCCTCTGTGTCTCAAAGTCCTGGGCTGAATTTCAGTATGTACATCCCTGTTAACTATGATTAAAGGCTGTGACCAAAACAAACATTACACAGAACACAGGAGACTAAAAAAGTTGAAGGTAAATTTCCTTTTATTTCACATATTAAATTTTTTGCATTATTTTGAGTCATGCATTACAAAATACAAGGTGAAATAGGTGATGTCCTTGCATTAGAAAACATTAAATGTCTAATGACATCAAATGTTGAAATTTTAAAAAGTTAACAGTTCTCACACCGTCCTTTATCAAACTGGTCAGGTATAAAAAGCAACATTAAAGAATTAAGAATCTATTTGAGACAAAAACATGAAATCTACAGAAAACAGAAAATGTATTGGACTTATTGCTACCTTTCCACTCATATTTGTTCTTTATACACAGTGATCACTTTGTTAAGCCAAGTTTAAACATCCATCACATGCTCTCTTTCTCATTATGCAGCAGCACATGAGGACATGTTCTACAGTAGGCTAGACTAACGCATGGACAAAAAATAAAGGGATTATTACTGTAAGGCTCCACAATAAATACATAAATAGCATAATTTAAAAAGGCGCATAATGAAACATTTTGTCATAATGAAAGATTCACATTCATCTTCTTCCCTTTGCCGAGTTTACATGAGGTGCAATTTAGAAGGGAAGAAGGGTGAGTGCTCTTACCAGCTTCAGCTGTCACTTCAGCATTTTGTCTCATGTACGATCAAGAAAATATATTTTAAAGGGAACTACTTGAGGGTGTCTAATCTATCTCACGTCAAATAGTTATAAAAAAAAGAGAGAGAGAAATAGAGAACACTCCTAACAAAACAATGAAATCTATCCCAATGTCTGCATAGCTTTTAACAAAATACTGGTCCAAAACTATGAAATACTGAAAACTGCATGACAACGCAACAAATTGTTGTCATATGTACGCATAAGTGTCTTGGTTTGGAGGGAAGTGGGAAAGAAACCTGATCATAAGACGTGAAGGCACTTGGGAATTTTACAGAAATTCCACTGCAGTATATATACACAAAATTCAGCAATGGTTGATATGAGGTCCAGTGAGTCTACTTCAATTAACATTAAATATTTTCCTGCTGAAAAAAATAAATAATAATTTTATTTATTTATTTATAAATAATAATTTTATTTATATTATATATATTTTTTATTTATTTATTTATTTATTTATTTATTTATTAAGTAGTGAGAAAATACTGATCTCACTTCAATAAAATATGCAGTAATTCCTCATTTGTCTCCACATTTTTGGTGATTTTGTTCAGGCTCTTTGGTTGAAGGACTGCTAAGTTAAAACCTGGGAATGACAACCATCATTCAGCCCCTCTGGTTTTCCCCCTCCTAACAATCTCCCTTTATGGATTAAGTGACCTCCCTTGCATTCCTTCTTTAAGGCAGTTGTCATGGTTTCACTGCATGCGATCTGTCTGGAGCTGCTGAGGTTGGTACTGGCTGAAGGCGGCAGCTGCAGCAGCAGCTCCTGGGGTGGCAGCAGTGGCGAGTGGCTGCTGGACAGCATATCCATACCCTGCTGCAGTCATGTAGCTTGTTGGTGCTGGTGAGGCCGCGTATGGATACTGCTCATATGCAGCAGCGGCGGCGGCAGCAGTGGCAGCCGCAGAGTACTGGGCATAAGTGGCTCCAGTATAGTCAAGGTATGGGGAAGTGGCAGCAGCAGCTGTTGCTGTAGCAGCAGAAGGTTGTACATGAGGGATCACCACGCTGGGTTGGACAAAGGCCTGAGGGTAGACATAGTGGGCAGGGACTCTGTAGGACACAAAGACACAGAGGGTCAAAGCACAGCCACAGGCAGTCATCTTTCCAACGCTGAAACTAAATTCTGGAAAACTGAAAAGCAGGCGCCACAAATACATCAATCCAGTCCTCAGAACACAGCAAATCCATTCATTAACAACCGAAAAACCCTACCTAGAAATGAGAAATTAAGGAAGCAGCAAAACAAGCGCAGCTTTTTGTTTCAAAAAGCACCTGAATCTGAAACACAGTAAGGCATTAAAAGAAGACACAGCCCAGCTCTGCACCCAATGTCTCACTGAAAACGGTATTGACAAAATGCGAGCTTAATCGCACAACACATCAAGAAAAGAAGTGGACTTTATTCGGTCCACATACTGTCACGCCAACACCACACATACAGGCATGCCCACACATGTTAATAGATCCTTAATCACAAACAAATAAGGTAAGAAACAGCTTTTGGTTTCTTAAAATTGGAGCAGTTAATAGCCTAAATCCAGTAAATTGCATTGCAGTGAATTAACCACACGGTGTCTTATAAGGTGGGATCTTGGTTGTTTTAGGTTCTGCCGAGGCCCTGTATTTTTTTATTTTTTTTGAAAAAGAAATTCATTTTAAAATGAGAAACAAATGGTGTAAGAGTAGAAGATCTCCATTGGAAGAGCAATATTCTGTATATAGGCCAGGGTATAAATGAATAAATACAAGCCTGGGTATCTGGGTAAACTTTCAACTTGTGTTAAAGTCACCCTCCGTAAATATATTGAGGAGCAGGTGTGAAACTGTTATATCTGTCCATAGACTAGTGCCCCTTCCCCCTCTTACAGACATACACCCCCACACAAACATACACACGCCAACTTGACTGACAAGGGAGGCTGGAAGCATGCTATTTTTGCTCCTCTTGTCATCTCCAAAGGACAAGCTGATCTTCTCCTTCAGTAACACATGGCAGGGAAACTGTAATGGCTGCCTATGCCACTCTGCTGTCTCAGTGGCCTTCCTGAATTTACTTCTTTATTATCTGACTGGAGGTGTCCTGGAAGATCAAAAAGTGTTGCCCTTTTTACAAAGTGGGGTGCTAGATCTACTGCTGGAAACAAGAGCTAACTGTTTTGTACTATGTATATACTGATCACAGGAAATGTGACAAATTCTTGTATTAAATGTGTACAATCAAATTACTTGTATAATTTTCAACTCAAGATAGGAACAAACATCCTGGTATCATTTCTTTGTGATATGACCTTGTTTCAATATCAACAGTTCAAGCGCTTAAAGGGCACAGCTGACTTAAGCCATCTCTACTGAAAGAGATGGGTCAAACATTTTTTTGGTCCTGCAAGTCAAGAGCTAAATAAAGGTACTTTGTAAATCACCAGGACACATGGGTAATCCCCAGCACATAACCAAAAGGCTTCACGGGCACATGGCTCGGCCCACCTGTTGTCCACAGCCGAGCGGCCCTGTCTGTGCCATACATTATTAACAGCGCTGCTGAGTGACTCCCATTTTCCATCTGAATTTGAGAGGCCGTAGAAGATCAGTGTAGCCAGCAGCTGCTGCATGAGAGTCCAGCTAAGATCTCCGTCTCCAACCTATAGTGCAGTGAACATTGGAGTATGTCTAAACATAAAGACGACTGTCTTTTTTTAATTCATCCAAAGCTAAATAATGAATTCATAATCACATTTATAGTTAATTAACATCTAAAAATAGTTGTATACAGACAGTGATTCAGCTTTAATTTGGAATTTTGATATTTTCAGTTAGTTTACTCAGTGAAACTGTGGCTTTGCTATTAAAGCACCAACATGGGCAATTAAATTTATTATTCTGTCATAACAAAACTTTAACATTTTAATTCTACTGTGACAGCTAAGTGATGACAAAAATAAAAAAAACAGAGGATTCTTATTGGTTTTTCAGAAGAAATATGCTCAGTATCGTGTACCTGTAGATTTAAGCTACAAGTGAAAGCAATGGGTTAATACGAATTTAAAAAAAACACGGCATCATGGGTAAGGAAATTGAAAAAAAGAACTCCCACATGCAAGCCAGTGTTTGTTTTGTTGCAGGGGATCGATTTTGAAATCAACACACATGAGTGATCATCAGCCCCCTTTTGACAACAAAACACGATCAACTTAATGTTAACTAGAAACTGGGAGGAAAACGATAAACCACAGGCTAAAGCACAAATCAGTCATTAAAAAAGGAAAAGAATCAACACCCCATTACATTTACAACTCCCTATCAAAACTCACAAAGTCTGCACAAAAAAAACTCCTGCACCCCACCTCCCTCCCCCACTGCAAGTAGAAATAAGCACACAGTTAAGCTGAACACCACATCATACTGAAAACAAGGCACACACAAATCTATGTACTATGGAAAACTGGGAAAAAAAACAGAAGACTTCCATGCATCTAGTCACCATTTCAGTGCGTTTGTGTATGTCAGAGTATACAGGTAACACTTTAGTGCTCTGCCCAATGCTGACTCAGCTATTCCTCAAATCATCATGTCCCTTCATCAGCTATTTTAACCGTTACCGACCCTGTCAGATCAGAGAGAGACAGACAACAATGAAGTCAAGTCCTGTAGTGACTGAGGACAAACGTTCACTTCCTTCACAGTCAACGCCAAGCAGAGGAGCACACATCAACATTCACATGATAGTTGATGATAGTTTACAACAATTAAAACAGATTATATAAAAGGTCATAAAAAAGAACAGCTGATTTTGTTACAGACAGATCTTGTGAGAGAAATGTACATTTCTACAGCTTAACATACCCATAAGGTCTTTGGATGAAAGCTGGATGGATCTGAGGCACACCAAATGCAAAACCTAGAATGAAAACAGAAATTTGTTAAGAGTTTTGAGTGAAGTAGTAGACAGTGCTCTGATGCTTTGCAAGATTGCTTGTCATTTCCAGGAGAATATAATACAACTAATGACATGTTTGTCTACAGCAAGCGTTCATCATCCAGATTTCAAGATGAATGTACTTGTATTCAGTTGTGTCTTAGATTTACTTTTCACATTCAGCACTAATTGTATTACATCCTGTAAGAGTAGTCCCCATGTGAGCATGTGAAAGCAATTTGGGCTGCTTGTCTTGATTAAGACTAAGTTGTGAAGTAAAGATGTGATCAAGCCCCTCACCTGGCTGTATCACCCTTGGCTTGGCCCCCAGGTAGGCCAGGTTCACATTGGCTTTCCTGCCATCTATTATAGGGTTGGGGTCCTTGCAGGCTCGGTCAGCAGAGGCCCGGTCTGCCATGGTCACCTAAAGGAAACAGCACATTTTCCATTGACCTCATGGATATTTCTGGCCTACTGTATTAGTAACAGTGATTAAAAATTTGGTTCATCTTCGGTCAGGTCATGTTTGACTGAGGATAATTCAGTGGTTCCAAGTCTTGATTGTCCGATTTCTGCAACAGTAAGATTATTTCTAACTTGACTGTCACACAGAACAGGACAGAGTAGCATACAATCGACTGTTTCAGCCTGTAGGTGATTAATACTAGTTCAATTGACCTTATCCCCGACCGTGCACGTGTGCAAGCTCTTTTAAAATGGCAACTCAAAAACGGGTCGCAGGTTGTTACTTACAAATCCATAACCTCTGGACTTCCCCGTCTGTCGATCAGTGATGACAACAGCCTCCTCGATGTCTCCAAATACCTCGAAATATTTCCTGAGACTTGAGTCCGTTGTGTGATAAGGAAGACCTCCCACAAAGATCTTGGTGTATGTGGTGTCTTTCTGTGCCGAGTGCATCATTTGTGGATAGATATTTTCAAGTAATTTCCTGGAAATTGTGAGGTCAGATAAAGTAAAGGAACGCGTGAGGATCGGTTGAGGGAGAGGATCTGCGGCGCGGACAGGCAGCCCCCCCGATGATGTGACTGTGGATCTGATAGCGGAGGAGGAGGACACCTGTTAGTTTGTTGCGGGAGATTTCCCAGTTGTCAGTGTGTGACACAGATACTTAACTCCACCCAGATCCAGACCACCACGCGGAGCTCCGGGTGCCTACTCAGGCTGCACAGCTGCTACGGCAGGGACACGGCGTGCCGAATCAGTGTAGAAAAAAACAAGCGAAAGGCCACTAATGTTCCAAGTTGATGCCAAGAAAGATAATGCTGGTCATGGCAAGTTTGAGGCGAGTCATTTTGTCAGATAGTGTGTAATTTCTTTGCACATTCAAACTCCTATAACCCCCAAATGCAATCCCCTTGAAAATAGTATAGTTTATAGTATTTTAATTTTACTTCTTATCCTAAATCCTTATTTATGTTTTTGGCCTAAAAGTGGTCAAATATCAAATTTACTGAGTCTAAAATTCCTAGAAACTGTTTTTAAATAGTCAGTCTATGACTGGCCTACAATGTGGGGAACAGCATAAGTGTTGTTTACTTACATCAGGACAGGACAAGTTCCAGGGGACCATAAATCTACCAGTGACAGGAGACATTTTGGCCCACATTATGGTGCCAGAAAGTGGAACTATCGCCACTGTTGACATCTCAGAAATGTAGTAAAGAATCATGCTCAACTATGGTGTTTAGGTTGTGCGCAACCGATTCGTTATAAGATAATTTAAGGTTGGATAGTTTTGGCCAAATATTTAAGTTTTTTTTCAAGAATGTATGAACACACAATAAAATTCCAGCAAAATCCACTGCAGATCTTTTCTGTCTTTCTGTGGACTTTAGATATGGCCTTATTATTAAGGTAGGCCAACCATTAGGGCATTTTCTGTTTTAGGAAATTGAAGCATAATGTGGCTTACTGTGTCACAGTAGGCTTATAGATATTAAAACAACATTTTGAAGAAACTGCACCACAAGAAATGCTGCTGGGGTTTGGGCTGGGAAAGGGACTCCAGTGAGGCAGATCCTGAATTGGAGGTTCTCCTCCTTCACGCAGAGTCGGGGGAGAGGATGGGGCCGTAGATACGGTTGTGACCGGGGATGATGATGTTAGAGATGGAGCTGGGGCTTTGTCAGGCACAGATATGGGGGCTCTGACTGAAGTGCAAACTACAGTTGTGTTAGGGCAGGACACAGCAGCACAGCTAACAGAGCCTGTATTGTTTGGACATTTGCATATAGCAGGTAAAGTGTTTTCAGGAACAGATATGTTGATAATACCAGAGACATCAGAGGAGTGTTAATAGCCAGTGTCACATGTTTCTATGTCATCGGGTTTCTTCTTTGTAGATAACTCCAAACCCTCCTGTGCTCATCCCTCTGTAAAATGTGTTAAGTCACTCTCTCCAATACTGTCATCAGCTCCTTTAAAGTCAGTGGCTCCTGGCTGGCACTGAGAATACATTTGTGAGGCAGAGGCAATGTTTGCTGCTTATCTGTGCAATAAGGGATACTGCCATGTAAGGAGGCAGGGTGGCTGCTCAGGTCATGAACCCCACCTGTTGAGAGGGGAGACTGCTGGGTGTCACTTCCTGTAGAAACACTTTTGGTTTTGGTGCAGCCTCTTCCAGCAGGACAGCCGAGAGGGTCATGGAGGTCTCTGGAAGTGCAGCTGAGGTGGTCGGAGCTCTCGCTGCCACTGAAAGGCATGTCAAAAGCACTGTGTGAAAAGTAGCCGCTAGTGCAGCTGCTGGCTGTGGGGCTTTGAGGCACCTCTCTCTCCCCACTCCCACCTCCACACCGGCTTCCCTTCAAGTCAGAGGAAGGAGGAAAGAAAAGAGGAAAGAAAGCCCTCCTGGCTCTCCAGAGTGGCATTGTAGATCTCAAAGTTTGCAAAGTCTTCTGGGTTGTAAGGCTGAAAGCCGTTGTGGTTCTGAGGGCCTCGATTGAGTCCTGCTGATCAAAAAATAACAGTAGCAGGACAAAAGACACATCCCAGACATGATGTTACTTATAGCCTGTATGGAGCATTAGCCTGTTGAAACACCATTTTTAAAGTGAATGAAGAAAATGAAAATATTGTGTTGAATGTGATAATGTAACATGAACAGTGTATGAATAATGCATTAAAACATTTCTTTGTTTTCTTAACTTTGCGTTAAGGTGTTTGCTGCTATACCATCATACTCATGTATGTTGTTTGTCAGTTTCCCCACATGTGTAATTTATGGAAATAGTTTTTCATACCAGATGTTTCTGTTTGAGGCCATTTTTTATCCCTACTTTAATAAATAGTAAATTATGAATTTTTAATTCACTTCAAAAATAGTTCTTTGTGAGCACAAGAGAATGAATAGCGTATACTCAGTGTCTCCTGTACTGAAATATTATGCTTTACTCGTAAAACATCAAAATATGCAAGGGCCGCTTGAATGAGCCAAATAAAGAGTTGACACAGTACAGTGATTGTAAATGTTCTATTCTAGAACATTTTGTACCAATTAAAACAGTTTGAGATACATTATAAATACAATTCTGTACATTATAATAGCGTAAATACTATGTTCAAATACATTTCTATTTACAACTCCTTATGAGGGAGAGCAGCATTGTTCTCTTCTTTAAAGTAAGGTCTTGGGTTTGTTTCATTTACTTGAAATTATAGCTTAGATATACAACCATTTCTAGTCAGTTCCACAGTTCACTACTTCCATGAAAATATAAGTTCACACAACAATTCTTCTACTTTTGCACCGTCTTCTGTAACCTGATACTGTCTATCGCCTATTCATCCAATCCTCCATGTGAAACAAAAATGCATTATGGAGTACCCTTTAACTTGTAGTGTTATATATCAGTTAGTTAACATATAAAATGAAGATGGACAATCAGTTAAAAAGGTATTCATAACAGTCAGTCAGCAAGGCTGGGTGGCATTTTGATGGCCTCGGGGCATCGGGATATCCATATACAGGTTTAGGGTCCATACAGTTAGTTAGTTTAAAACTCTGTGAACTTGTTATGGAGTTCATTGAGTAGTCTGGGCTTTATGTGCCTGCCTTTTTGGAAACAGGGCATTAAGGCATAAGTATATCCAAGCCTTGGACAAAGCCAAGCTGCTTTCTCAGTCACTTCAGTCAAAATATATTTCATCAGTCAAAAACGGAAGACAGTCGGTGAACTCTCCAAGAATCTTTTCCAGTGCAAGCATTCAAACAGCAACAGTCTCATGCTGGATGGGGATTATTTCCTCCACAGTGTTACAGTACTTCAACAAGATAATTAAACATGATAACTGCAGTATCACACTGAAAGCAACTCAGGTTTTGCAGATTTGTCCTCTGTTCAGGATTTGTGGCATTACTTCTAGAGATATGGCACTAAGCTTTACTTGGACATATAGATATATAATGCACACACGCACATTAGAAAAATAACATATTACTCATAACAGCAGATATGGAACCGTAGTTCTTTGGTTACCCCTGACATATCATATTGATGTAAATATCAATGTTTATTAACAGTAGTACATTCTTAATCATCATATCCCAGATTAATCCACTATGAGCCTCAGGGGAGGGTGCATTTGTCTTACAAAAATATTATATATAATGTTCAGAAACCAATGTAAGAAAATGGGTGTGGGTAATATTTTCATAAGTTCTCTATCAAAAATATCACCGTATAGAAAACTCAGATATGTGCATAGTGAATTTCAGTGGACAGTATTTAGGATATACCTTCATTAAATGCACAGGTAAGACATACCTAGGAAGGCAGACAGGCCTACAGAATACATCAGCTTAGAGACTAGAGTGGTCAGAGGAATGGAAGGAGAAAAGCCATGTTGAAGTCAGCCTGCGGTTCATCCATAGGCACTGGATCTGAGGACCACCCAGGCGTCTCTGCCATTCCTAAGAAAGCCAGTCCTTCTTTGGTACCTATCTGATCAGAGTCTGGGGTTCTGTGTCCATGGAGGGCGGCCCTCTGGTGAGACGAGATGGCTTGACAAACACACCATGGCCTGGCGGGCAGCGGAAATACACTCTGCCTTGGACAGTCCCATTGTGCTTACCTATAGGAAGATCAATCATAATACTATGTCACATTTGAAACTTTCATACACAAGGGAAAAGGCACACCAGTTGCTATCTATATTAAACAGTAGAGCACAAGCAATACTGAATTTTTGAGGCTGTTGCCCCGGCAAATATCAAACAGGCAATGCGGTCAACTGCCCAGGGGCCCTGAATGCCCAATATTTATTGTGTCAGTTGTTTACAGTAATTAAGTAACTAACCCTCCTACAATAACTTTTTCATTAGTTGGTTTCTGAGTCAAACTAATTTTATAATGATAACATCTTGTTTGAGGCACCACTAAAGCACAATATAATCTGAACTGGTATGGGCCTTAAGGTGGGTCCTGCATCATTACCAGTCTTGTAGAGCAAACCTGTGTCAAAATTCAAATGGTGTATATTCCTAACACATAACTTTGTGTTTAATCAAATCACCACAGTCATCAGGAAATGAATACGGGACCAAGGCCATATTTTGCACCATGGCCCCGTTGGGGGTTAATCTGGCCATGCTTGTACTGACATCTATATTTGAGAGTAAAATACATCCGACAATAATTTTGTTGATATTCGTCATTTAACTTAGGCAAATATTTTTTATAAATGTAGTTACAAGAGACTTGTGACCAAGCTATGTACAGAGTGGAATGTTTAACAGTTGAAAAATAAAACGTGTCGTGGTGGACAAATTATGTGATGACGACACTATTTCTAAATTACCTCAACATATGTCAAGCTAAAATGGTAATAATATATATGTATGTGATATACTAACAGAGAGTTGTTGTTTTGGGGGACTCACCCACTGCCATGTCAAGCTTCACACCAATCCAGATCCCCTTAGCAAACTCTACCCCTCCGACATAGTGGACCGTTCCTCTCCTCTTCCCCACCCACACCTGCTCTCCAGGGGCCATCCAGTCAGGAAGCTGAGCTACAGGGGTGCTCTCATCTCCGCTTGAATCGCCTGAGGGCTCTGCGCTGCTTGGGTTTGGGCTGGGACAGGGACTCCCG